CCCTCCTCCTTGTAACAACCTTTTATGTACCTGAAAACTGTTATGTCCCCTCTCAGTCTCCTCTTTTCCAGACTAAACAAACCCAATTTTTTCAATCTTCCCTCATAGGTCATGTTTTCTAGACCGTTAATCATTTTTGTTGCTCTTCTCTGGACTTTCTCCAATTTGTCCACATCTTTCCTCAAATGTGGTGCCCAGAACTGGCCACAATGCCCCAGCTGAGATCTAATCAGCATGGAGTAGAGCGGAAGAATTACTTCTCCTGTTTTACTTACAACACTCCTGCTAATACATCCCAGAATGATGATCGCTTTTTTTTGCAACAGTGTTACAGTGTTGACTCATATTTAGCTTATGGTCCACTATGACCCCCAGATCCCTTTTCGCCATACTCCTTCCTAGGCAGTCATTTCTTATTTTGTATGTGTTCAGCTGATTGTTCCTTCCTAAATGGAGTACTTTGCATTTGTCCTTATTGAATTTCATCCTATTTACTTCAGATCATTTCTCCAGTTTGTCCAGTTCCTTTTGAATCTTAATCCTATCCTCCAAAGCACGTGCATGGGTGATTGTAATGAATTACACTTGTCCTATGGCAGAAATATCAATTAGGAACCAAACAGGTCACCAAACCTGTAAAAAATGCAAGTATACTAAGAAACATTTAAGCAAAAAACAAGCACAAAAATTCCCTGTGCCCCCCCCCCCCCCCCCCCCCCCGCAGCTCTATGCAGCTGCTTTATCACAAACAGAAACATTGTAACTGTTACAAGCTGTAACTATGCTGACTCCTATGGTAACACCAGGGCCAGTGCTGTAAAAGATGTCATTCAACCATGAAGTATTAAGGCTGACTGTGTCATTTACAGCTAAATTGGGGGTTTATTTATGAGGCATAGCATGAGCTAAATCTCCAGCAGGGCAGCCTGTACAGAAAGGCAGAGTCCCCTGCAAATATTTTAGGGCCTACTATCGCCCATAGGAAATCTGAGTGTGTAAGGATTACCATTTCATCCCAGTTTGAGCTCAGCAATAGCCAGCCCTCAGTACCTTTAAAGCCTGGTGCAGATATCAACTGGCTCAGCCTCCCTTCCCCTATAAGGCTGGGAGCTGGTATCTCCATTTCACAGACACAAATCAGGGTGCAGAGAGGTCAAGCCAAGAGCACCAATAGCAGAGCCAGGAACAAAAGAACCCAGGAGTCCTTACTCCCACTCCCCTGCTCCTTCCACTGAACAAAGAGGTCATGTGAAACTGTGGGCTTGCACAGCCAGTGCCTTGGGGCATCTCTGATAACTAACAGTAGCATTTCTGCCAGGGTCTCAAAGCACTTTACAAAGCAGGGCCAGTGTCGTTGCACCCTTTTCTAAGTGGGGTAACTGAGGCACAGAGAGGGCCCAAGACAGTGAGTCAGCAACAGTCAGGTGTAGAACCCAGGATTCCTGGTTCCCCATTCCCTGTGACAACTACTAGAAAAAGTAACATACAATCTGCTTTGCACCCTGTATTGTGCTACAAATCAAGGTAAATGGGTACAAAGCACCACGTCAGCGAGATGGGAGCCTGTGGTGTTTCCATCTGGGACAACAGGCCCAATTGGGGGCACAGACCTTGCTCCTTCCCTGATGGATACACACAGCAGACGGTTTAACAAAGGAGCTTACATCACAGACAGTGTTGCTAGCTGGGTGAGGATTATGTTCCCAGTTGTACTGAGAGGAAGATGAGGAGCCTGACAGGATGCTGGCCAGCTGTGCCATGCGTTACAGTGCCAGCCCACGCTGGAGCACACGGGGAGTAGGTACACTACAGCTAAGCAAACCCTGCTAGCAGAGAGGTGTGTTGCCCCACACGCTGCCTCACAAAACACCTTACTGGAGACACAGGTCTGAGGTGGTTGTCAACTCAGACCATCCCTCACACTAGGCCGGGGCGGCAGCTCCACCTCACAGCCCAGTGGCCATTGGCATTATCAGACAGGAACAGAACTGTGGTCTGTCTAGTCCAGTATCCCTGTCTCCAGCAGCATGTTGAGCTGAGCCAAGGTCTCACACCCCACACGCAGCTCAGCACAACTGGCCAGGCATCTGATAGGATGTTTAAGCCTCCTCTGAAGCAGTGGACACTGCATGAGGATCCAGGACCCCCGACCATATGGTCTGATCTAGTGTGGCAGGCAGAAGAATCAGGGCTAGCTCAGATTTGTCCTGGCAAATGCTGCGCTCCTCTTTTAAGAGCATTTGGGAGAAAGAAGGTCTGGCTCTGAGCTATCCCATAACACTTATGGTGCCTGCAACTCCAGAGGCCACACTGCATCATTTCCTCTAGGCTGGGATTTTCTCCAGGTGGAGCAAGGCTCATGCCTCTTTGTTCCTCTTCACAGTGTTCAGAGCCCCCTCCCGGAGCACAGCCACCAGCTGGCCATAACAGTTACAAGCCTGCAGCTCATTGCTATGGCAACTCAAGCTCTAGAGAGATGTCATTGCAGCACATTACCCTGGCAATTAAAGTTCTAGAATGACCCCAACAAGAAGGCCTGTTAACATTGAGGATCCCCCCCGCCACCAAATTCTGTAAAGGGCCAAGCAGAGAGACAGGGACCCTGCCTCAAAGAGCTTTAAGTCTAAGCCAGGCAAATCTCAGCCATGGGACAAATGGAAAGGGCAGGGAAATGAGGGAGCCTGGTTATGGCAAATGAAACCAACAGGAAGTACATCAGAGAGGGAGTGACTCAGGCACACTGAGATTTTTAAGGATAGATGGGGAAGGGGACAGCCTGGGAAATGGCCCAGGAAAGCTGACCCCTAGAAGCTGAAATAATTACATGAAAAGGAGGCATCTGGATTAAAAAGCCTTGTTTGTTTGTTTGTCAGCTGGTTGGTTCTTTTAAAACAATCAGCTTTAAATTCCCCTCTTTCTGCCTCAAACAAGCCCAACCATTATTAGAGGCTCTAATAAATTCCTGGCAGCTGATCCCGCCTCTGCTTTCTGCAGCTGTCAGAAGATGGCTCAGGATGCACCTTTGATATTTGACAGTGTAAACTCTTCATCAGAGAGGGGGAGCTGGATTCTGTGTTTTGTGCCAGAGACCTTAATACCAGATTATCCAGCAAAGTGCATGGCAGCTCCCCTAAAGCAGCATGCTTCTCCATGGGCTAGCAAAAAACTGGGGCACAGGTTAGCAGAGAGCCATTTCCAGTGCAATTGATGAACTGGTGCAAAGAAGTTCAGCAAGCATCTCTTTTTAAGAGCCATGCATGACAGCATTGTGTGGCAATGGGCCAATAGGGCTAGTCCATGCCAGGCTTCCAGCTACTAGGGATTCTAGCCCAAACCTGCTCCTAGTAGACAAACTGAGGATGCAGGATGGGTCACACCTGTCCCCATCTACCCCTCATCTTAGTCCCAAATTTGCCTTCCCCCCAAGACAGTCTAGCACTCTCTCCTCTTTACAGCCCTCCTTTAGACACCAGAAAGACTGACCTCTCAAACGATGATAGCCCCCTGCATGAGCCTGTAGCAGGGTTTGAACCCAAGGATCTTCAGCACCCTGACCACATAAACTAAAGGAGTAATCCCATTAGCTGGTAGCAGTAATAGGCTGTTACCCTTTAGTGCAACTGCCAATAGAAGGGGACACAACACAAGCTTGACCAGTGAGTCACACTGAGGTTCTAGAAAGGATTATTATTGCTAAAGAAATTCCCATCATCAGAGCTGCCTGTGCTGTCCTTGCCCTCTTTGTCCTCCATGGAGCTCTGGAAGGCTGAGAGGATGTGGCGGCAGGCTGGGAGTCTTGCATTTCCACAATGGCCAACCTTCCTTGCTCTGGAACTGCACACACCCATGCTAGCAAGGCAAAAGGGACCAGAAACTTCTTCAGAAATACAACAAGCCTGGACAATTCCAATTAACACTGGCAAGAAGGGCCTGTAGCATCGTCCCCCTGGAAAGAGCACATGTGCCCAGGGGAAGAGACAATCAGATGTTAAGGAGAACTGGCCCTCATCAAGGTAACAGGGAGTATGTCTACACAGCAAAGAAAAACCCGCAGCTGGCCCATGCCAGTCGACTCAGGGTCGCAAGGCTTGGGGCTTTTTCATTGGTGGGTAGACTTTCGGGCTCAGACCCTCTCACCTCACAGGGTCCTAGAGCCCAGGCTCCAGCCCGAGCCCAGAAGTCTACACAGCAAGGAAACAGCCCCACAGTCCAAACCCAGTGAGCTCAAGTCAGCTGGCATGGGCCAGTCGTGGATTTTTATTTGCTATGTAGACATAACCAGGGAGGCAAACGCAGATCCCTACAGCTGAGTCAGAGCACTCAATGGCTAAAATATAAAGGAGACTCCAAACCTACAGCAATTGTTGGGGGCACCTTCAGGAAGGAGGATGGGGAATCTCTGTTCAGCCAGGACTCAAATGAAGCTGTGCAGTCAGAACATGCCACCTGCACACTAACCAAGCCAGGTTCTGTTCCTGGTGGGACATCCCCACTAACCCAGCACCCCAACAGGATAGTTACTGGAACTGGGCTTCACCTAATTAGCAGTCACCACTGGCGCTGGACCTGCACCCGCACCCAGGGCTGTGGTTTTAGTTCCACTGAAAGCAGTGACTCGCTGAAAACACAAGCCAAGTTCACCCTGAAGCCGATCCCAGCTCAACAAAGCTTCCGTAAAACGGTGAGGCTGGGCTAAGTTGCACTGGGCACTCTCTCAAGCCTAGTTACCCTCACCTGCTCTCAGGAGAACTATGATTCACCCAGCTCCAAGGCAAAGATGTACCCTAGCTGCAGAGCAGAAGCTGGCTCCAAACATATCCAAAGTCAGAGGAAGTCAGGACCCACCTTACAAAGCTAGGAAAGTCAGAACCTGACCCAAACATCACTAATCTTTGGGGACTGAGGGGCCCAGGCCTGGAGCTAGTTGAGCGGTCAGGAGTGTCCTCTTATGCATTGCCCCCACCACAGCCAGCCTTGATGCCCAAGGGTAGGCACCTTACCTTGTGTCAGGCGAGTGGGCTGCTTAACCTGCAGGCCATCAATGGCACAGACATTCCCGCAGGGGTGCAGGGTGAGGGTCCCACACACATTCTCGATGTAGCAGTGCTCAGAGGCCAACCCAGTCCCCTGAAGAACAATGTCCTTAGCAGCCGAGCCGATCATGGTCCTCCCTGCAAGGAGAAACATCTGCTTAATGCTCCTTGGGTCATAACAAGGAGATCCAGTGCTTGGGAAGGGAGGCCAAAGCAGGTCAAGCACCCCCATTTACAGAGGCTGAGAGGTGACCACTCACCCTGTATTATTGGTGATAAAACCCCACTTGGTGTGCACCCCACCCTGCGTAGGAACCATGTGATAGGAAGGTGGGGGCTGGGCAGGAAGCATCCTCTGTAGTTTTTGCTAAGAGGAGCTCCTGAACTGGAAAGTGGGGAGGGGAGACACGTAACCAGCACTTCAATTGTGTGGAATAACGGGACTGCAGCCAGGGCTGAGGGCAGCTCCTGTCCTGATGCTGCAGAGCAAGTGCAGGCCTGGACATCAAGCCACCAAGTTTTAGACACTGGTGGGTCCCCTAGAGAGACTGAAACAGCCTCTCCCCGCTCCTGTAACCATCACCATCACCTGTAACCATCACCAGCACACAAACACAAACAAACCACGAACAGCCACTGATTCCCACACACACCACCTCAGAAAATGGAGGTACAAGCCCCTCATATAGGGGCATGACATAGGATCCAGAAGTCCTGTGCTCATTCCTCTAGGCCAGGCTGACTCTTAAAGCTCCAAAGGCAAGGCAGTCTGCACCCACAGGGCTGTGTGGTAGTGCTGATTTGTCCCTCCTGCCCCAGCACTCTGCAGCGCTTGGAGGAACAGGGCTGCTTCGTACTTCAGAGGAGAGGGGAGTCCTTCCACGGAGAAGATCTGGACAGCGTTGCAGGGCCCAGCACAGCGCTGCTCTCTCCTTGGCTGCAGAGATTAGCACTGGGCTCCTGTCTGTGGCTCAGACTGCAAAGGCCAGGCCAGAGAGTTGGGACCTTGCAGGTCCTCAGGTCAGAGCCTATGCTCCTTGGGGCTTTTATCAGGGCTGCTATTGATCACGCTGTTTCCTGGGCAGCACTGGCTCCCTGACAGGAATTCACCCTACAGGGTCTCAGCATATTAGCTGCTGGAAAGAAATGGGGCCACTTGGGGACAGACAACAGAGAGCTAAATGTAGGTGGTCAGAGACACCCAAAGAGCGACCCACACATCCCAGTCTTGTCCCTTGTAGGAACATGAACTCAAGCAGAGATGCAGCAGAAGAGGCAGGAGGAGGCTAGCGATAAAGAATCCTGTTTCATACTAACCACTGTGCCCCCAGGTTCCTCCTTCTGCTCCTATCTCCTTCCCTCTCTCTGATCAGACAGGCAAATTCCCATGGCCCCTCCACCTCTTCTTCCTCCCACCCCACTGCAACCCCAATCTCCAGCTGCCTCCTTGGGCAGGCAACTCCCACTCTCCTTTGATCCAGTTATCTCTAGCAGCTTCCTCTGTTGACTCTGTGCCACAAGCTCTTGGCTAAGCCCTCCCCCACCCCCCTTGGCTCCCTCCCATTTCACACTCTCAGGCCCCTGCTGACTAACATTAGACTGTGAGTTGTGTCCAAAAGAAAGGCTCACTAAGTAACAAATGCATGGCCCAAGAAGAAGCTCGGCTCTGCTCCCCTTTCCTGTCTGAGGTGCAGGGGGCTCGGTAGGGTCTGTGGTTTGGGCTGGCGTGTGGGCATGTCACACATGCACAGGCGAATCCTTCCCAGTGAGATCTTGGATATCCCCACAGGGAGCAGATCTGGCAGCTCCCTGCCTCTCAGGCCAAGGATGCAGACAGGTTGCTAACGGCAATGTCTCCAGGGAGAGCTTGGCTCTTGCTTCTCTCCGGTTTTTAATCTGATGCTGCACTGTGGCCTCAATAACAATTATTGGACACAGATGCATGCCTAAGGCCTCACTTCCTAACACCAACTGCTGGAGAAGGGCTGACATTTGGAGGGGTTGAGCCATGAAGGAGCTGGAGTCTCTGATCCTAAACTGAGAGGCAGGGGGCAAGTGGCTCAGGGATGGGGAGGCACAGCTCAGTTCTGATCATCATGTGCTTGTCCCTGTAGCAGGGCCATTCACAGGGGCTGCCAGGTAGGGGTGTTATTGGGGATTGAAACTTTTCAGGAGCTAGCCACCCACTGTCTGGAGGGGAGGAACAGATGCCCTATGTGCCTCTCCCGCCCTCCATTCTTGGGAGCCATGGCTGGATCTGAAACACAATTGCCAACCCATCTTTCACTGGGATGTTGGTTCCATCTGGCTCTGGGCTGCTGAGCTCACATAAACCAGGAACATCGGTGCGAAGTTAACCCAAGTCCCTGCAAGACGAGAGGGTGTGGCAGCACCAGCTCCCACCGATGGGGCTACAGAAGGGTGGGACTTAGTGCCCGCCCCAGGGGCTAAGGGTAGCCCAGCCAGATCCAGACTGTGCCTCCCCACCCCAATTTTCAGTGGGACTAACCCAGGTTCCGGATCCCACATTCAGTTTCTAGATGTGGCTACTTTAATGGGGCTCTCTCAGCACCCTGCAGGAAGTTACAGCCACACAAAGCGGATCACAGCAAAGCCCACACACCTGGAGGGGAAGGGGGGAGGGGGCAAGGGCATGGGTGGCAGCAGCAGTCAGGCCAACACTGACAGTAGTCAGCAAGAGCAGAGGGAATCCCACAGGTCAAACACTGCCGTCAGTCTGTGCCTCGACTGTGGCAGAAGGCAAGTGCAGTGCAGCAGCATCTTGCGTGCCAGGCCATCAACTGCCCTGTCTTTTACTGTGCCCCTCTCATCTGGGCTCCAAAAGCACCATGTAATCTTCCACTAACTATACCCTACAATCCATGCAGGCAGAAGGTCCATATCAAATACTGGGGTGGGTCAGGAATATTAGCTCCATTTAGCAACAGGGATGGAGGGGGGCAGGCTAAGATTCTCAGAAGTGGTCACTAATTTGGGGAGCCCAACTGGAGACCCCTACGGGATGACTTTCAGGGGTGCTGAGCACCCACAACTCTAGCTGACATGACTGGAAGCTTGCGTGTGCTCAGCTCCCCTGAAAGTCAGGCCCTATCGTTTCCAGTTGGACACCACCAAATTAATGACCACTTCTTAGAATCAGGCCCAAGGTTCCTAAAATGGGCCATTCAAAATTAATAGCTAGTTTGAAAATTGGGGTGTAGGAGACTTGCCCAAGGCCTCAGAGCGAGTCTATAACACAGCTGGAAATGGAACCCCTAGGCCTCCTGTTCTACCCATTACAAACACACCCTCTCCACAGTCTGGTTTTCCCATGGTGTGATGGTTGGTCTCCACCCAGTGTAAGTTACACAGTGGGTGTCAGCCACAGGAGGGCAGGAAAAGTGACACCCCCTCCTCCAGGTAAGCTCCAAACCCCTATCAGCCTCGGCCCATCGTCACAGCACAAGCAAGGGGAACTTACCCTCTTCTAGGGGCAGGAGAGTGATGGCGGTGCTAAGCCTGCCACTGCCCAAGCTCACCAGATGTGGCTGATCGGTCTGGACCTTCAGCCCCTTGCCCATGTCTATTAGGTCCAGAGGGCTGTTCTGTAGGGAAGGATAAAGCAGAACCCCTGGTTAGAACGTGCTCATCCCTGAACTCAGGGGAGAGGTCACTGGCCTGAGCCCTTCCTAGATGCGAACAGAGAAGTTTTCCAACTGGCAGGAAATGCAGTGAGTTTGGTGAGTCACAGTCAATTCCTGGTTTCAGAGTAACAGCCGTGTTAGTCTGTATTCGCAAAAAGAAAAGGAGGACTTGTGGCACCTTAGAGACTAACCAATTTATTTGAGCATAAGCTTCTGTGAGCTACAGCTCACTTCATCGGATGCATACTGTGGAACCGATGAAGTGAGCTGTAGCTCACGAAAGCTTATGCTCAAATAAATTGGTTAGTCTCTAAGGTGCCACAAGTACTCCTTTTCTTTTAGTCAATTCCTGGTGGACCAGCATCCACAGTACAAACCCCCTCTCCCCAGTCAGTCCCTTACTGGCAGCGTCAGCAAAAAGGTGAAGGGCTGAACAGGCCATTGGGACTGCCCTCTCTTCTCACCCCTCCAGCGCAGGCCAGGTTGTGGATGCTGACCTTGTCACTGACCATTTTGGAGGTAAGCAGAGGGCTCCACAGCTGTCAGTCCGGCATCAGGACATACATATAGGGAGGCAGATATGGCACCAGCTGCTGCAGAGGAGGTGGCTCTTGCACTGGCAGCACCCCACATGTGGGAAAAGGAAGAGAGGAAGCAGGGATGGAAGGAGCCCAGATCCACAGGGACAAGGCTGATACATGTCTGGGGAACAGGTAGGGGTGTGCAAACAAGACCCCTGAAATGAGGAGTAAGGCCAGTGGGGCTTCTGAAAGGCAGGGATGGGGTATGTTCCAAGGACTTGCTCATCCGTGGGTGGCTTAGTCCCTAGGGCTTGAGTGCAGGTGGAGCCAGCATTGGTGGGGGAATTCCCAATCCAGATCATACCACACTGGAGTGCTCCAGAGAAAACTCACCGGCCAAACCTTCCCCTGCTTGGAGAAGCAGGAAGTGGAAGTGGGGATACACAACACGCCTGCCATAATCCCCCTGCATCCTTGCAGGTTCTGGGCCACGCCTAACCATGACAAGGAGGCATCCACCCCTGACCCCCATTTGCTGAGGCCTCCAACTGGGAGATGCTCTCCAGGTTCCTTTGCTGCAGTGGAGCCGCTTTAGCCCCTGAAACATGCCAGTAAATGGATGGATGGACAGGGAGACAGACAGGGTCTGTGCTGTGGGTTGGCTCCTACCCAGCAGTCTGTCCACAATCAGTGATTCAGATAGGTTTTATAGCTGTTCCCACTTTGCACAGCAAAGATCGATCATAAATATTTATGAGCTCCTTATCTTTCTGCTCTATATGACACGGCAGAGCATAAGTGGAGGTCTCACAGGATGGCTGGCTGCAGCGAGCAGGGCAGGGCTCTCCCCTCTGCCCTGGGCCCCTGAACCTATTGCAGGTAAACCAGAATCCAACCAGGCTTCACTTAGACCCACCAGCTACATGTACATGCATGCAGACATGGATGCAAGCACACACAAACATGAACCCACACAAACCCACAAGCACAGACTGCTGGGCCCCCTGGCTCCACATTCTGAGGGTGTCTCCCTCAGCCCTTTTTCCAGAGCACATAGAGTGCCCTGTGTAGGCTCCAGACAGCAGGCTAGCAAGCTGAGGAGTGGACTCCTCAGATGTGGAGTCCAAGGGTTGTAAGCCTTCCCCACGTCTCCAGATCTCAGGACAGGCCGGTTGTGATCTTTGCTCTGTGCTGCAGGCTTAGGGAAGAGACTAGAAGGATGAAAAGTGAAAACAGCCCAGCCCTAGGGCAAGGGGGATTCCATGGGCTCAGGTTCTTTTTAATAGGATCCAAGGTACTAGCCATTTAGCCCAACTGGATTTACAGCCAATCCCATAATAGGATTGGGAGGAAAGACCCAATGGCACTTGGCAGAGGGCAGCACCAGCCACCCACACCCTAGTCCTGGGGTTATTTAGGATACCAAGATCCCTTCAGAGTTGAACTCTGGGAGGGAGTAGAGGGTGGGAGATGTGGCACAGAGCCATGCCATTCTTCAGCTCTGGGGTGGGGGATCATGCCTCATTGACTATAAATCATCAACAGCCTCTTAGCGTGATGGGGCCACAATTCCTCACTGGCAAGCTGTTCCCATGTCCCTTCTCCAAAAGATCCCCCAGGAGCCTTTAGGGCCAGCTGGGCCAAAGTGCAAGGACATGGATGCTGAACTGCCCAACCTGGAACCAGTGCCCCCAACCCCCATCTGGAACTGGGGTTTGACTCATAACCGACGCAGGGTCATGTATGAAGCCTGACTCAGGCCTGGGAGAGGGAATAAACTCTCTCTATGCTCTCAGAGGATTGCCAGGCCCATCCGCCAGCACTTGGGGCTGCTCTCTCTTGGGTTTTCGGGATGCCCTGATTTCCTGCTGGCCCCATCACTATGGGGACCTAAGCAGCCTGTATAGCCAGCATCGCCCCTGAATCTCTCTCTAGGACCAATAACCTTTGCTCATTTGTGACCCCAGTGCCAGTCTCTGGTGATGGAAGGACAGGGCATTAGCCCCCAAAGCTATCTCAGTCTGCCCTCCCCAGCACAAGGTGGCAGTGGTGATGCACTGGCTGGAGGAGGTGACCCTGGCACACACTCACCTGGATGATTGCTTGGACTTTGCGGGTCGGGCTGGTAACATTCCTGTTTGAAGCTTCCATGGCAACTTCATCAATGTGCCTGGCACTCTCCTGGGAAGGAACCAGAAACACAGAGGGGGTGTTAGGACTTGAGAGAGCACTCCAGTAACAGGAATACAATGACAGAACCAAATCAGCACTGTACACGGGGCTATGCGGCAGAGACGCGCCTCTCCCTCCCCAACAGGGGATGCAGAAGGTTGGATCAATGAGACACATGAAATCACAGGCTGAGAGTAAAGTTCAAAACAGCCCAGCAAGCACAGGTGAGTGATCAAGAGGCCCCATTATCTAGGCCTGATCAATGAAAGGAGAGAGTGGTTTAGTGATTATAGCAGGGGATGGACAATCAGGATGTCGGTGTTCTATTCCAATCTGTACAGTGAGGTCCACACCCACCTATCCACACAGGCTGTCAGAGCTCATACCGCTTGTAACCAGTACTTGGATGAAGAGTTCCAAAGAAAAGCAACATGTCATCAGCAGTACACATTCTGCATCATACTGTTCCCCCTATCCCATAGACACAAGCAGCTTTCAGGCTTTCACCCAGCTTCTGCATTGGCATTATTTTCTTCTAGAAACAGGTGCGGTGTATGAATCCCAGGACTAAAGAGACACTGCATTAGGAGAGATTGATGGCTGCAGCACTGAGAGCTGGACACCAGGGGGCACGATTTATGGCCTTATAACCTTCTTTTACCAGCCGGGCTATGCGTGACTGAGTCCCTGATCCTCATTTGCTCTCTGCTGGCTCCTGCTCAAGTCAATGGAGAAATGACCACAGGGGCACGTGGCTTGGACCCCAGCTGAACTGGGTAATTCTGCACACAGGGTCTCCGCTGATGCGAAATGACAGTGAGTGGTACAAACGCCCAAAAAGCACAGTAACTTAGAGCACCTATGTACAGAATTCTACAGAACATGTGCAGAGCATGGGATACATGGCCCTGTTTCCTCATTCACCTAAGGATCTCCCAGGATCTCTTTACAAACATGAACTACGTTAGCATCATAAACCCTGCACAAGGCTGGTCAGGGGAGGTGTACAGGAACAGGCCAGCCAGCTCTCCAGCACAGCAGCTCTTTAACGGCACTCAGACTGGCAGGACAGGAAAAAGAATCTTCTCTCCCAGTGAAGGCTGGTGTAAATACCCCAAGTGAGGGAGCCACCGCTCCTTCCCCAAGGAGCTGCAGACAAATCATTCAGATGGAAGAGTATTGTGCTGAAATATTCAGAGCTGGAAAGATGCACTGGATTACTGACTCCCCCACCAATGCAGGGCTCAAACAGGACTACAGAGAGAGGGTCTGAGGCGAATTAGAGTTGCTTGTCGCATTTGTCTGGGGAAGAGGAAGCCCTGCCCCTCCTTCCCCGACCAGGCCTCTGCTCTTTGTAAAACGTTATTTTGCTGGTATTAAGGCAGAACTAGGTCACATATGGCTCATTAAAAGCATGCTAAGCTGTGTGACACCAGTGCACCATCTACAGGCTAAGCCTGCATTGCAGGTGATAGCATGGACTCAGCCTTCTCCTATCATTGTCAATGGAGAACAATGTTCACGAATTCAGCCACTGACACTCCCAAGAGCCCCAGCCTGCTTTCAGGAAAACACACTAAACTCTCCTCTGTTACCCCCAGGAAGCTTCCCTGGCCCTGCTTCACCCACCCCCGGTCAGCATTTGCCCCAACAGGATTTGAGAGAACAGGATGGGCTTGGGTAACTTGATCATATATATATATATATATATATGTATAACTCATCTTAAGTGATCACTCTCCTTACAGTGTGCATGATAAACATCCATTTTTTCATGTTGTGTACACATAAATCTCCTCACTGTATTTTCCACTGAATGCATCCGATGAAGTGAGCTGTAGCTCACGAAAGCTTATGTTCAAATAAATTGGTTAGTCTCTAAGGTGCCACAAGTACTCCTTTTCTTTTTGACTGTAACACATGCAAAAGTCCCACCACGGGTCAGTGGTGATTCCTGACCTCCCAACACTGCAGTAGCTCCCTGCTGTTCTCCACCGGCTCGGCATTTCTTGTGCCTTTTCCTGCCAAGGGCTGGGGCCACTCCGAGTTCATGGAAAGATTGTTTAGTCTCTGCTCCCACAAATCCAGCAGCCCACCCATTGCAGACACAGCCAGAACAGGGTTGCGCTGCTCCTGGGTCACATTAAAGGGACCCAGATCTCACAGATGCTTGTGTCTAATGCATCGCAAGGGCCTATAGGGCCCTGGGGATTGAAATCTGGCTCACCATGCCTGACATGCATATTCAGTCCCCAGGCCTTTTCTTTCAGTTGGCCAGTAGGGAGTATGATGCTCCGGAGGCAGACCCTGAAGAGGGGAATAATTCCCATAGCACTTTTCACCTAGAAGGATCCCACAATGCTCGACAGAAACATCACTCCCCCAGGACTGACATACAACCACCTCTGGGGTGAAACATGGCAGCTGCCACACACCAGCACAGTGACAGGTTAGGGCAGACAGGGAATAACAACCTATATTCAACTGAAACTGCTGGGGGCAGGATTGGCGGAGTGTAATTACCCAAGATGGGCTTTGGCCAGGACACTGGAGTCAATGCCCTGGCTTGTGGAAAGTGTCTTGGGAACTTTATTGCTCCCAAATGACCAGGACTTCAGTCCACATCCCATCCAGAAGACAGGCCATTTGTGGGAGATGGGTTAGTAGAGTGTGAGGGCCTAGACAAGGCCCTAGTGAAGCCTGGGATCACTGCACCTCATGGGCTTCACAAAGACCCAGTGCTGCCTTCACCTATCAGAGCACCCAGGACAGTGGAAAATACCAGTGCTAGCCCAGCATGCAATGCTTCTCTGGTTCCAGCTGAAGGCAGCTGTGATTTGCTCTGCTGTACAGCATATGTATAACCCATGGCTGGGCTCTGAGAAAAATGCCAGCGCAGCCCCCTCAGATGGGCAAAGTCTGGGCTTTTCCTACTGTCCCTAGAGATAGAGCTATCTACAGGCTGCCCTGGCAATGCTAGCCCACCAGATCCTCAGGCTTCGACCAGTGCAGCAAGCAGAGATCCTCTCCCTACTTTGTCAAAGCAAGCATGGTCTGTGGTTACCACAAACCATACCCAGAGCGAGAGCACACAGCCCAGCCAGGAAGAGTGGGAGCTAGTGGGTAGCTATTACACACTGCGGAAAAAATGAAAGGCTGGAAAAAGACAGCGTTGACTCCAGGGCTGGGAAAGAACAAAAACAACCATCAGCTCACAGTAAAGGCCCTGGCTCCCTCCGGAACAGGCAGCTGAAAGAGGACAGCATCTGGGAGTAAGACCAGACAGAATTCAAGCTGAAGTGCCTAGACTGGCATTCAGGGCCAATTTTCATAGCAGCCCCCACTGACACCAAGGAAAGCCAGGCTTCCCCCCTAGGGGGGCCTTGGGTATGGAGCAGAGGAGCCTAGTTGGAAATATAATTTGTAAAAGAAGCACACTGGACGTGAGGCTGAGTGATAGCTCTGGGGTTAGAGCCAGGAGAATTTATGTGGATCTGGCTGTCAGAGGGGCTGAGCTCCTGCCACTGCAAGCTGCCAGTGATCAGCACATCTGAACCTCATCTCACGATCTGGACAGTAACGCAGGGCCATTTCCCTTCACTCCCTGATTCTCATACGCAAGCCTACAGCTACTGAGGGGCAGGATTATCCCTTGCTGCATAGAGGGCCAGTGTGTGTTTTTGTGAACAAGTTAGAGAAGGGGCACTAGCTCATTACCACCAGGACTTCTCTCCATTTGCTGCCACTTTCCTATGGCTGCAGAAGGAGTTCCAACCTGCTACATGAGATTTCCTGAGTGGGCTGTGCAGCCAGGGCCTTTCCTGTGGGGTGTGGCACTGGGGGCGAGAAAGGGGGTAGAGGAAAGATGTGGCACTGGGATCGGGGGTGGTCGTGGCAGAGTAGGAGACACAGTAATGGGGTTGTGCAGGGGGAAACACAGCTTCCACACAGCATATTAATGGAGCGGTTTGGAACTCTCTAGGACCTGCTCCCCTGCCTGCTCAGACAACATTTGCTACCATGCAGCTAAGCCTGTGCCAGCCACCTACTGGACCAGAGCCACCCCTGATGTTTAGAGGAGCCCCCCCCTGGGCCTGGGCTCCAGCTCCTTCAAGTCAGGGTCTGAGCCCGGATGCTGGCAGGACAAGGAGCCCATTGGACCCATGAGCACTGGGAAGGGCTAGCCTTAGAGTTTGTGATCCCCCTGCTCCAGTCCACACACGCCACACCCCTAGCCACAGTGTGGTTTTGAGGTCCGCATCTTACCTGCCCTTGGATCCTCACCCTGGCACTGGGCCAAACACCGACCACCAGCTTCAGTGGAGGGGATTCATGTTCCTATGCTCTGCTCATCCCGTGGCCTTGGGGTGCGGCCTACCCCAGCTGCAGGAGAAGTCGTAGAGAACAGTCTGCACTGCCAGCTCCCTGCGGAGGTGACAGGTGCATCAAGGCAGGAGACCCCAGTGGGGAGAGCCAGGCCAGCAGGGCCCACAGCCCTAACCTCTCCCCAACCCCTGCACCTTCTCCCCAAAAGCAGCTGCAGCCAGCTGCTAGCTCTTGGCTGCTGCTAGGCCAGAGGAAAGGCAGGCAGGGGGCCGGACTCTTGAATAGGAAGAGAGAGGAGGCCAGGATGGAATCATGCTTGGAGATTAACCCCTTCCCACCACAGCAGGCCACAGGATCGCAGTCATATCCACAGAGTCAGTGGGAGGTGAGGGGCAAGTGTCACACTGGGCCATGCTCTGGCACCTTCCATCGATCTGGGCATGGCAGCACCAAACCCACCCAGCTCCCATGAGCCAGGTACCCCCTTCACAAATGGGGGAACTCCAGCACTGAGAGGGAAAGTCACCACAGCAGTGCAGGGCAGGGGATAGAACTCAGGAGTCCTGTCTCCCAGACTTGCCACCCCAGCTCTAACCATTAGGTGCCTGCCTCTCCTATCCCAGAGCCAGGACTAGAACCCAGGAGTCCTGACTCTCAGATTCTCCATACACATCCTTCAGCTT